GTAGTAGGAGGATCGCAATGCATGGTGTCAAATAAATACTTGTTGAATGAGCAAAGGTCATCACATGTTCCCTGTCATAGCAACACTGAGAATGACCTAAACACTCAGCGAGAGGGGGCTGTTATTAAGTTATGGCCCTGCCGACCCACAAAGCTGAAGACTCATTGGAGGGGGTAATTATGATTACATAGGAAGATAAAGAAATGCTTGTGCTGCTACCTTAGAAATCAAAAGAAATCAAATCAAAATATTCTAGACGTGACTGAAGTCCATCCTGATATTTAAGTGCAAACGTGAAGTTCAGAAAAGGGAGTATAAAATACCATCATTTATGTAAAAAAAGGGGCCAAAGAATACGAGCTCCGATGCAGAGGTGGAGAACTCAGGGGAGGGGGCTGAGGGGTGGACAGTCAGGACAAGTCACTGACGACCCTTTTGTCCCCTCTGGGTGTTGAAATGTGAGCCTGTTTCTGACTCAAAATCAAATAATTTAAAAACACTTCCTGGTGCATAGCAAACTAAACTAGACCAGTACGTTTTCCTGCTCTATCCCTCAATTCCAAGGCACTTGTTCCCACTGCTCCCACCTCACATACACATTTTAGTTTCTGATATTGGATATACCTCACAATCAATGGGCATTCTTACTAATCTCTTGTGGGTTTTTTCCCCTAAAAAGTATTTACTAAATCGATGCTGAGTCTTAAATCAATGGAATTTCAGAGCCAAGAAAACGCAGCTGCTATAAACCCAGCCTGTGAACGGGGCTGTGGCGGTGAGAACCACCATCGGCGGGACAACTGCAGGGACCTTCCGTTTTCAAAGTGGTCCTGACCAGTGGGTCGCGTCAACTTCTCCGTGGTTTTTTAAAAACATACTTTTAGCTATTTAGGAGCCAATCAACGGTTTTAGAGAAAGGCAGACCCAGCATCAGGGCCTAAGTAAGCGGCTAGGTGCAAACCCATGCAAATAACCAGCCGAGCTCAGCTTCAGGAGTCACCAAGCCCAAGCCCCCGCCCGCAGTGTAACCGGGGCAACATGGATGGACTCGTCTCGCGTGGGTTTTCCTGAGGCCCTCACCTTCCAGGGACAGTTTGTCAAAACTGAGACAACACTGCTTGGCCAGCACAGGTCTATCCCAGCAATGGGCCCAGAAACCCTGATCTAGGTTGGAACCATTGCCGTGGGCCACGGAACGGCCGTGGACTTGGAAGCGCGGCCGAAGCCTGGTGCTGTGGCTCAGGCCACCTGAGCGCTGAAGCCCTGACGAGCTGGCCTCCGTTCGGACCAGGGTTCCAAGTGTGTCCTGCAGGACCCACTGTGACTCGGGTGCTGTGGGTAAAGGGTTTCTTATTCAAATGAATACATTTAAGAAATACGGGGTAAGACTGGGATAGACTGGAGAGCCACAGCGTAAACCGCACGTTAAAGACACTGATAAACCTTGTGTGGTAAGTTCCCTTGGGTTCTCACTTCACAGTCTTCTCTACCTTTCCCTGGGCTCAATTTCTCTTTGCTTTCCTCAGGGCAAAAGCAAATCCCAGAACAAAAAGGATTAATAAAGAGCAAATAAACACAATTCTGACCAACCTCCCCACGCCCCCCCCCAAAAAAACAAACCCCACCAGAGTAATTCAGGGGAGAATTCCAAGAAAGTCATCATCGTTGTTCTTAAAAAAGAGACTAGCATGCCCTGGCCGGTGTGGCTCAGTTGGTTGGGACTTGTTAGGACACGTGCCGGGGCTGTGGGTTCAGTCCCCGGGTGTGGTGGGCGTGTATGAGGGGCAACTGATAGACGCTCCTCTCTCACATCGATGTTTCTCTCCCTGTCTTTGTCCCTCCGATCTCCTCTCTCTACAGACAAACAAACAAAAGTTTTGAAGAGAGACTAATGAGAATTCTGCGTTCATAATGGCTAGCATCTCTCGTTAGAGCACAGCCCCCCACCCGACAGAACACTGGAAAGCAGCTGGGCAGACTCTGGAGAGCGATCCAGGCCCGGACGGCAGAGAGGAGTCAGCACTTGGGAGGAGGAAATCGCCCGGAATAAGTTTGTTATCTTTTGTAGTTTTTTTGGCTGAGGGAAGGCCCTAGTTCCAGCTGTGGGGTGGGTGGAAGCCCCTGGTAATGGTGTGAAAAGCCACAGGTCAGAGTTCTAGTGACCACACAGCTGGAGAGTGGGAAGAAACCCGGGAAAGGGTGAGGACCCACAAAGGCAGAGCCCCACCTGTGCAGGGCAGACTCAGAGATCTCAACTCCCATCTACCAGAGAGGGGACGGTACCTGCAGTTGGACAGTTCAGCCAAGTGAGCTGACTGCTAAAAAAAACAAACAAAAAATAAATTTAAAAAGCAACACTCTTCAGAAGAACAAAAGGAATCCAGACTCTTTACAATGTATCATTTGCAATGTTCAGAACACAACCCAAAGGTCCTTGATATTAGATTCAGAACAGAAAAGTATATTGCCTTTTGCTAGCCCAATAGCCAGGGAAAGTTTGCCAATTCATTGTCCAACTTGTTCGACCCTTGCATGCATGGGCTGCCTTGTACAGTTGGTATTTTCATTATGTGTCTCACAATGGGATCCTTGACATTATGTCTGAGGCTTTAGACCTCTTTTCCTCAGCACAGCACATAGCTCAACCCCTGCACACACTCAACCACCAAGTCCTAATAGTTTTACTTTCTAGTTTTTCTTAGCTTCCTCCCTTCTCTATCCTTTCTAGGAAAAGCTGTGCTCATCTCTCAGGAGGATTCCTGCAACATTGTAGCTAGCAACACTGTATCAGTTAGGGGACTTTCCCAAGCAAGTAACAGAAAACTCACTGCAGAGTAGCCTAAATAATGAGGAAAAAAAACCCTCTTCCCAGAAAGCTCTCCAAGAGACTTTTCCTCAGGGTCCACTGGCCAGCACTGGGTCACACATCCATGCCTTAGCTGCAAGGGAGGCTGGGAAAACCACCAGTGGGCATTTGCTTTCTCTGCAGTGGGATGCAGGCTTGCCAGCAGGAAGGAGGGTGAAGGAGCAGTCTACATAGGGGAGGGGACACAGGGTGTCTGTCTTAGACTCCCTGCTAGGGTATCCTCATCCCTTCAATCCATTCCCAGCACCACCATTATCTAGTTATAAATTAATTTAATTAATGATTCATCCATTGTGTTAGTCCATCAGGTTCGGCTAGCTTATGTTCCAGTAACAATATTCAACTACCAGTAGCTAGGAACATCAGGGTTGATTTTCACTGGCAATGGCAGCAGAGAGAAAGACAGCATAGAGATCTGTACCAGCTCTTATCTGCTTCCACCTGAAATTAACATGTATCAGTTCTCCTCACATTTCATTGGCTAAAGCAAGTCGCATAGCCACACCTAACTTCACAAGGGCACAAGAGTGAGATGATCCTTTGTGCAGGGTGAGCAGCACTAACAGTTGCCACATTGAACAAACTGAGCTTCGACTATATGCCAGGTGAGGGGCTGGAGATGGATTGGTAAGAACAAAGCATCTGTTCTAAAAGCATTTACAGTCTAAAAAAAATATTCTCCTTCCTTTATGCCTTCATGCTACCACATAAATACTTCAATTGTACCACCTGTTACACGTTTTATTGCATTTTTTTTAAAGGGCTTGGCTGTCTGCCTGAATAGGCTGTAAAGCCTAATACCTGGAATGGTGCCTACTATGAGTAGAAACTTAATAAACGTTTCCTGAATGAGGTATGAGAGAAGATGGACTCAGCTATGAGGAACAGGAAGCCTAGCTGACAGTGGCTTCATAAACCGTATGTATTTTCACATGGGGAGAAGTCTAACAGCCAGCAGCTGCTGTGGTTGGTGTCTCTGTTCTGTTCACCCAGGGCCCAGCTCTTTCTAGCCTTACATGCGGACATGCCTAGCTCATTGACTTTTCCTCCGTGTGACTGTGCCTCATAGTCACAAGATGGCTGCCACTGCTCCACATATAACATTTATATTTAAGGTGGGAAGAAACAGAAGGGACAATGGCAAGGGGCTCTCCTCTGGTGATGGTTCCTAGAAGCCACCAGTAGCCTATGTCTCAAGGCCAAAACACGGATCACATGGCCATCCCAAGCTTCGAGCAAGGCTGGGCTCTGGATTTCCAGGCTTTGTGGTTGGAGATGTCAACGAAGGGCCTGGAATGGTTTGCATGGCCAACCAAAAGTGTTCACTGAAATGGAGAGTATGTGCTCAATAAATATTTACTGGGAGAAGTTCATATTTTTATGACATGGTTCTTTACTGATTTAAAAATGTTTTTTCATTTATAGTTTATATTCAATATTATTTTATATTAGTTTCAGGTATATGGCATAGCGGTTTTATGGATTTTTAAATAACATACAAAGAACCCTCAGCACTGTTGTGACTGCTCAATACTGAGTACATCTTCTGTTTGTGCCAGGCACTATGCGAAGCATGGTACATGAATTTGCTCATTTACTCTTCGCAATACCTATGACACAGGTACTATCCATCTCTGTTTTACATATGAAGAAATTAAACTGCAGAGTAGTTGAGCAACTTGTCCAACTGGTTCACTTACCAGCTAGTAAGTGATGAAACAGGGGTTCGAACTCCAGTGTCTGACCCCAGAGCCCATGTTCCTGTCCTAGAACTTCAGGTCCAGAGGGGAACAGAGGGCTTCTCAGAGCCAAGCCCTGTAATTTCATGGAGCTCAGGCCCAGAGGTGGGAGCTGACCAGCTCAAGGCCACACGGCAAGTGCACATCAGAGCCAGGCCCAGGACCCAGGGCTCCCAGGCCATGGTTCTATCACCCTGGGTTGCCTTTGTTTAGAAACCTCACATTAGTTCACTAATCTGTCAAAAGAAAAATGGCCAAACTTGGAGTTCCGTGGACAATTCAGTTTAAAAGCATGTAAATACTTTTAGTTACTACACAAGCCTTGGCAAATTAAGACAAGTTGTTTCCATCTTTGGAATCAAAAGTTGATGATTAGATACTCCAAAATCTTTTACCTCTCTCGGTGCAAACTCCAGTCTGCACAATATTTTCAAGCTCTTCAGCGACAGGAGGAAAGAAAGCGATGGTCAGCGAGCCTCCCCCGGACTCACCGGGGTTGCTTCCGACTCCGAGCTTCTGACCCGGAAGTGCCTCACGGGGGGGGGCGGAGCCTGACCTCGTCCGTCCAGTGTCGTGTGGCCCGCGGAAGCCTGTCCTCAGGGGGATCCCGCTGCCCTGCGTGACTCGCCCGTGGGGCCCGGCCCACGTGAGAGTGAGGTGCCGCTGACCTGGCGCGAACCGGGCTCGGCCCGCGTCAGCTCCCTTTCTCGGTTCCTGCTGCTAAGCCGTCAGACTTGGGCCTGAAATGCTGGTTGAACACGCGTCCTATTTCACAAGCCTTGACGTGTTTTGTCAACAGAACTCAAATCTCTTCAGGAAAAAGTTTGCTTACAGTGGAAAGTCACTTTGGTGGGGCATTTAAGCCCAGGGGAGTAAAGGTTTTAAGCCCAGGCTCTTGAAACACATGGGGGTTTGAATCTAGACTCTGCCACTTCCTCACTTTGTGTGTGGCTGTGCGCCCTCCTCGTGCCTCAGTTTCCCTGGCAACACAATGGGGTCGAAAGGAGTAGCCGCCTCGGGGTGGCTGTGGAGACTCGGTGTGGAGTGTGAGCGCAGGCCTGAGATCCGTGTGTCCCGGGTCAGCACATCATACATGTGCTGGAGCCTTGCCAGGTCCTGGAAGGCCTTCCACAGCATGTTTCATCCAACCTTCAGTGTGGCTTACACAACACATTTTCTTTGATTCTTTTAACATTGGGACAATTGGGCAAGTGACTGCCTGTGACAGCAGAGTGAGGTGGCAGAGTGAGGCAGCAGCAGAGGACCCAGGGCTGCGGGGCAGGAGACTGGGCTCCAGTCCCGGCTCTGCCATCAGTGCTTATGCATCCTTCTGTCGCAGCTTCAGTTCCCTGTTTGTAAAGTCTGGGGGTAGAAGGGGTGACGGGTCAGGTCACTCCTGGCCTTAGATGTTCTCACCGATCACAGCGACCCAAACATCATCTCAGAAGCTTAAGTCACTAAGACCACCAAGTTCAGCAAAAGTTCAGAATCCTGGAATTTGGATTCCAGAATGAAGAACTCTTTCAAGTCCCCCCACCCCAGACCAAGGAGAGCCAGTTAGGAGGGAATAGCAGCCTCTCCTGGGGCAGACTTGAGGAGTCCCCAGGCCTGTGCTCCTTGTTCCGCCCTGCGACCCTCCTCTGCCACCACTCCAACAAAATGTGACTTCCATCTTCCACTTTTCCCCCACAGATAGTACGGTAAACTTGCTCTCGGACCTTTTCCCACACTCTGAAATTCATTCAACAAACATGCACATTCACCAAATATGCACCCACTGTGTACCAGGCACTCCTCTGGGGGGGGGGACCGAAGACTCAGACCCTGCCTCATGGGGCTGACCTCATATCGGGGGCAGGGGCAGAATGAAGCAGAATAAACATGGACATACAGCAGAGCAGGCGGAGTAGTGGAGAGATGAAGTTAACTGGTTGGGGTTTTGTGCAGTGAATATGGTCTAGCAAGCTCAAGGTGTGAGGGGGGAGGGTGCAGACAGGAAAGGAGTCGCAATAACTGACCATGGAATTGAGACTGGGCTAGGAGGGGAGGAGGGATTTGAAGAGGACAGTGAGGTCTGCAGACTGGGGGGCCCATGGGGGTGTAGGCTTGAAGGAACAAGCTACAAAGAAGTTTGAACTTGGTATCTTTGGAGGGCCTAGAGCTTGACCGTGGAGCGGAGCAGCTGATCCAGGGGAGATGAGATCATGGCCAGAGAGGAGGACTAGGAACCGGAAGGCCAGGGCATGGTGGGCTGGGCAAGCACCCAGCATGGTGGCAGGATGAGCTCAGGAGGGCAGAGAGGCGGGATCAGAGGCCCTCTGGGAGTCTGTAAAGCAGGGGCAGCAGTGAGTGTGAGGTTTGTGAAGACATATTTAATAGTGCAATGTAATGATGCATTTGGGGAAAACTTGTTTTTGTAAGAACTACAGAAAGAGAGGGAGCTGCTTATGTCAGGTAAAGCAGGCCTGAGCATTTGGGTTACGAAATACCTGGGAGTATGTTGTTTCATCAAGATCAAGGCTGCCAGCCAAGGGCATGTAGCACTTCTTGTGCAATCACATGGCCATAAGCTTTGTAAGGGTGAAGGAACTTCCTGTCATCCCTGAAATACCAAGGAGATAGCCACTATTTCAGGAGGCTTGAAATAATCTCGTAATGATAATTTATTAGTATCATGTATCAAAAGCAATGTGTAGAGGTGTTGAGGACTGGGTTTAAATCCCAGCCCTGATATTTATTAGTAATTTACCCTGATCTGCACCATGGGCATAGGAACAGCACCTATCCCTCCTGTTTCTGAGAAGCAAATGAGCTAATATATGTAGAGACTAGACTGTGTAAGGACTCAAAAAATGTTGGCCAGATAGTCGAAGAATCTTTGTTGGCAAAAACAGGCTTTGAAGGCCATGTGCCATTAGTATTTCTGTGTTTGAAAAACCAACCAGAAAGTAAATTGCATTTCTGTTTATTGCATTTCAACAGCCACTGGGAGGCAGTGTGGCCCAGGGGGAGCGGGTCTGTGCTCACAGGAGCCTTGGGTTTCCCCTCTTCCTCAGCCTTCAAGGACACGACCAACTATGGCTGAAGGCAAGGCAGGGTGTCTCTGAGCCTCAGTTTGCCCATTTGTAAAGTGGGGACGATTCTGCCAGGCCCACACAAGATGGTTTTGAGCACCAAATGAGGAACCGTCCCATGAAGGAAAATGGCAGATCATGGGAAGGGTGTATGCGACTCACTGGTTTGGGTGTCCGCCTGCTGTGGTTTGAAATTCAGCCTGCGCCCTCCCAGAGCAGCACCCAGAAGACAGGACATTTACCAGGTAACCGGAGTCTATGGGAGAAGGTGCTGGGGGGCCCAGGTTGGACTATGGGAGGTATAAGTATTTCTACAGTTAAGTTTATGAACAGATTTGGGGAAGATATAATGAATAGTGCGGAGTGTGGCCCACAGTTTTCCAACAGATGTTTCTGCTCATGCAACGTGACATGGGGCCACGGCTGCTCGGAATGGTTTATAGCTGCATAGGTTCAGAAGCTCCGACTCACCCACCAAAGAGAGATGGGCCAGAAAGGAGAAAAAGAGAAAGCCCTTTGTGAACTGACAGGGGAAACACGGGAAACACTGAATGAAGAAAGAAAAAAATGGGGCACAAAACAGAACTATAGGATGCTACCATACGTTGTCCAAAAGAGCAGGGGAGAATATCTGTAGAGTTTATGTGTCTGTATATGCACAGAATAGTCTAGCATTAGTTATAAGGAACTAGTCTTATTAGTTTCCCCTCTAGGAAGGGAAACTGGGACACAGGGGTAGGAAGAGGAATATCACCGCGTATCTGTTTGCACCTTCTGGTCTGAGACAAGAAAATGCAATAGCTGTGGGGTGGGGAGTGTGGGAGAGGGAGAGAGGAACGCTGTGTGTGCGCTCCAGAATCGGATGGCTGGGCATGACTCCCAGATCCACCACTTCCCAGCTATGTGACCTTGCACAAGTTACTCAGCCTGAGGCTCAGTTTCTGGGCGAAAGGGTCATGATAAATGTGATGATGCCTCCAACCCTCCTGGCCTGCGGGAAGATTGAGTCCAGTGAGTCTAACGCACTGGATGGAAAGTGGTTGCTAGAGCTGCTTAACCACCCAGGGCTTCCTATGCTCCAGATCAACTTCCAAACTTCCCAGAGGACTTGTGCAGTTCGACTTTCCCTTTCACATGCATTGCCCCAGGCATCCAGCCTTGAGAGTCCCTGCACCTTCAATACCAGGTCCAAAGAAGAGTGGGAGTTGGGGGGTGTCCCGTGTCAAATGCAATAAAATGCTCCTCGCAGACTGGCAGCTGGGGCACAGAGGGCTCACAGCAAGGTGGACTGGGTGAGGCAGGGGCTGGTGGACTGGGCGGTCCCACATTCACATGCAGATAAACTGGGAGGAACAACTGGGAGCAAGACAGACCGTACAACCCAGGGTCCCAGCCCAGGGACATAAAGCCTCAAAGCCTCTGACTGAGAACACCTGTGGGGATTGAGGCAGCAGTGGGAGAAACTCCCAGCCTCACAAGAGAGTTCATTGGAGAGGCCCACAGGGTCCTAGAACATACACAAACCCACCCACATGGAAATCAACACCAGAAGAGCCCAATTTGATTGTGGGTAATGGGGGAAGTGACTGAAAACCGGCAGAGAATAGAGCAAGCTGCATTGTTCCCTCTTGGACCCCTCCCCATATAGAGCGTCACAACATAGCCAAATGGGTTGCCCCACCATGATGAAAACCTAAGGCTCCACCCCTTACTACATAACAGGGGAGCTGAGCTAAAAAAAAAAAAAAGGGGGCCCAAATGGAAGAACAGATCAAAGCTCCAGAAAAAAATACAACTAAATGACAAAGAGATAGCCAGCCTATCAGGTGCACAGTTTAAAACATTGGTAATAAGGATGCTCACAGAATTGGTTGAATATGGTCACAAATTAGAGAAAAAAAAATGAAGACTAAAAAAAAGTGAAATAAAAATAACGTACAGAGTACCAACAGTGAAGGGAAGAAAACCAGGACTCAAATCAATGGTTTGGAGCAGAAGGAAGAAAAAAACATTCAACCAGAAAAGAATGAAGAAACAAGAATTCCAAAAAAATGAGGAGAGGCTTAGGAACCTCCAGGACATCTTTAAACATTCCAACATTCAAACCATAGGGGTGCCAGAAGGAGAAGGGGAAAACCATAAAATTGAAAATGTATTTGAACAAATAATGAAGGAAAACTTCTCCAATCTGGAAAAGGAAATAGACTTCCAGGAAGTCCAGGAAGCTCAGAGAGTCCCAAAAAAGTTGGACCCAAGGAGGAACACACCAAGGCAGAACATCGTTAAGTTACCCAAGATTAAAGATAAGGAGAGAATTCCAAAAAGAAGCAAGAGGAAAGGAAAGAATTACCTACAAAGGAGTTCCCGTG